ACATTTTCTGAATCAATAGAAACAGACATGAGTAGCATGTAGACGTTAAAAGCAAGAATGGACAATTGACATCTGTCAATATTTTTTAGCTGCAAACATTTGCCAACTGTTCCAATTACAATGCATCACAGCTGCTTTTTAATGACTAACATTAAAATGAGCCAGTAAGTGACTGAGGCAGATTATATTAGGTTGTGCACCCAGACAAAATTGGCACTATATATGGAGTAATCACCATAGAAATGAATAAAATGTCTCTCAACAGTTTACACATTGCACCCAAAATGGCACCTGTCTCACTTTGATAAAAGTCCCCCTTAATATGCTAAACAGACTTTGTCTCACAAACAACAGAACTCAACTCTTCTGACATAATACAGAACCAAACTTTTAGTTCAAGAAGTTGAAAGGGAAACTGTCACTAGTCAATATTATGTCCACTTACCCATATGTGATGAGATGTAAAAAATAAAATGAATAGAAAATCTTCAACTCTATCTTCCATTTTTGCTCTGTCATTTTATTTGTTTATAAACTCTGTCCTTCGTACCGTGGCAGCCAGCATAAAGTATAAAGAGAATTTTTTTTTAAAAAGTAACAATGTTTGGGGCGGGGCCAACTGCCGAAGCGAGCGGACGCATGGAGTAAAAGCTCCGGTCCTGAATGGCTTAAAAGCCTGATTTAAACAGCTACACAGCCCTACCACCACCTTACCATTACCTGGCCAGCTACCAGACACGTACTACTCGATGGCACCAGCCAAACAAACGAAACTGACGGACCAAATCCGCCCTGCCAGAAAGGACCGCTTGCGGCCTACTCAAGATGGTGACGACGGCCCATCCCATGCTCAACCATCTGAAGTCCTGCTGGAGTCAGACCGAGACACATACCAATATACTGACGCTCCGGTCACTGAAAAAAGGTTGTACACCATGCTGCAGGAATTCAGAGTCACACTCCAGACGGATCTCAGGAGGGTGACAGGCGAAATTAAAAGAGAGATTTCTGACCTGGGTGAGCGGACGAACCGACTGGAAGCCCGTACAGAAGATATGTGCACGGAGCATGATACGCTCGCTGACACGGTGCACCAATTAGTGTAAGAACAACAAATGCTCAAACGCAAACTAGCGGACTTGGAGGACCGGTCCAGGAGGAACAAAGTCCGCTTCCGTGGCATCTCCGAAAAAGTGAGCACAGAAGAGCTATCAGCTTATATTACGGGACTATGCAAAACACTACAGCCGACATTACCGAGGGAGACTGGTTGCTAGACCGGGCCCACCGCCTTCCAAGACCCCCGAGGTTGGCGCCTGAAACACCTCGCGATGTGGTCGTGAGATTCCACTATTTCAAATCTAAAGACGCATTGTTAACAGCATCTCGTAAAATGGATCAACTACCAGAACCATACATGGGTGTTCACCTCTATGTGGATCTTTCCGCGCTGACGATGTCTCGCCGGAGGGAATTTGTCACGGTAACCAAAAACTCTGAGGAACCACGCTATCCAATACCGTTGGGAGTACCCCACGAAACTCATTATATGGCGAAACAGCAAGAACCATACTGCAAACGAGCCGGAGGTGGGCATGCGCCTAATAAAAGAATGGGGACTGCTCCCAACCCACACGTCGCAGGCACTACTGCGCCACAGTAGAATGGCAAATGGCGGGCTCGCCTGTCAAGGCCTAGGGGACTCTCTCCTGGGACTCTCTCTTCCTCTGAACGTCCTCTACAGTATACCAGTATACGTAAATATGTGTTTGTCATTGCATGGTATAATGGTAGATGCTTAAGCTCCTACTGCTGCTGGCCTGTAGCTCTAACTGAGGACAGAGGGACTGTCGGGGGGAGGGGGGAGATTCCTGGGGACGATACCTAAGGGCTATGCAAGATTCTCTCACCAAGGGCTGTGTCAATGTTGATAGCATGTAAGTCATTCACGCTTCGCCTCTAACACCGAAGGCACCCCCAAGGATGAGCGCAGCTACCGGCAAGGAGTGCCGGCCTGTGCCTCAGCCGAGGAATGCACCGGTAGTGTTGACGGCGCTGTGCAAATACTTTAGTTGTATTCTTTGGTTGTTATTATTGTTATGTTCCCCCCCGTGTCCCCTCCCTGCCATACTCCATTACCAATAAGGAAATCACGCTTCACACATACTACCACGACCTCATTCAGGAATCATGAATGACACCCTAAAAATTTTCTCCATGAACGTTAAAGGTCTTAACAGCCCTCACAAATGCAGACTAACAGCCCAGGAGATGACCAAATCCAGAACGGCCATAGTGTGCTTGCAGGAGACTAATTTTGCAAATGCAAACCACCCTCCTTCAAGGTTAGGCAATTTCCCCAGGCCTACCATGCCATGTCACACACTAAATCTAAAGGGGTGTCAGTATATTTCCACAGGGAATGGGTATTCACCCCCACCACACAACATGTCAGTAAAGATGGCAGACTGCTCATACTAGTGGGCTCTTTAAATGGTCTCCAAATTACAATTTTCTCCCTGTATGCCCTGAATGATAAACAAAAATCCTTCCTGACCATGGCGTTCCACAAAATAGGAAAGTATAAATCTGGACACACTATTATTTGCGGAGATTTTAACTGTTCCCCGGACCCGCTTATGGACATACAGAGGGTGCATAACCGGCCCCCAAGCATGCGTCGGCCTCGTTAGGCCGCCATTTAGCACACCTACTACACTCTCACGACTATTACGATGTATGGCGAAACCTGAACTCTGGCACAAGGGACTACACGTTTTATTCACCAGTACACATGACGTGCACTAGAATTGACCTCTGTCTCTTTGATAAACGTACACTACCACATGCCAGAAACATGCATTTAGGCCCTATCACTTGGTCGGACCATGGCCCACTGGTGATTACTATGAAAATACCACACCCTGCCAGAGGGAGAGGCGCATGGCGCATGGCGCATGGCGCCTTAATGAAGCCCTGTTAGATAATACACAATATCTCCCCCGACTTCAAGCATCCCTAGATTCTTACTTCGAGGCACATTCACACTGCGAAACCGCGCTTACTACACAGTGGGTGGCCCACAAAGCAGTTATGAGAGGTGAGCTTATCAAGCTGGGAGCCAACACCAAAAAAGCAACATGCACTGAGCAGGCTAGGTTGACGCGGGAAATTGCTGCCATAGAATTCGCTCACAAAATGAATCCTACCAAGCAGAACCACAAATGCTTAGAGACACTTAACACAGACTGAAAAATACATGCGCTACATGAAACTAACCCACTACATGTTAGGGAACAAAGCAGGCAAACTCTTAGCCGGACGGCTAAAACAAAAATATCTTCAGGCTAAAATCCCCTACATAACCTCCAAACAAGGAGAGAAACTTTATAATCCCCAGGACATCGCTATACCAACTGCACAAAGACCCAGGAACACACCAGCCCTCAGATACAGAAATAGAGGCCTTCTTGGGGAGGATGACTCTCCCCTGCATATCTCATGATCATCTAAACACCCCTTTCACAGAAGAAGAACTCAGGGATGCCATTAACGCCCTCCCCAAACACAAATCTCCTGGCCCAGATGGGCTATCTAATTAGTACTACATAAAATTTGCAAAACAACTAACTCCCCACCTGCTTCGACTGTTCAATACTATTAAACAGTCTGGAACCATGCCCCGAGAGATGCTGGAGGCATTCATTGTCACACTTCCTAAGCCTAACAAACCCCCCACTAACTGCGCCAACCTACGACCAATTTCCTTACTCAATTCGGAAGTCAAGCTATATGCCAAAATGTTAGCGACAAGGGTCAAAACACTCTTTCCCACGCTCATCTCCCCCGAACAAGCAGGGTTTGTACCTGGGAAACAGGTGGGGGACAATACCCGCCACTTCATAAACCTTATCGACTGGGCCAATCACTCCTCACAGCAGGGCCTAGTGCTGGCACTGGACGCCGAAAAGGCGTTCGACCACCTGAACTGGGGATATATGGAACGCACGCAGAGCAAAATGGGATTTCCTCCCGCTTTCCTGGCAAGTGTAATGGCCCTTTACCAACACCCATCAGCGAAAGTCTTTAGCACAGGTTTTTTATCTGCACCTTTCTCCATAGCTAATCTTACACGCCAGGGTTGTCTACTGTCCTCGCTCGTCTTCATTCTCTGTCTCTAACCCCTGACACGCCTTATAAACGGCAACATACACATACACAGCTTGTTAACTCCAGGCGGCACAAACAAGATAGCACTGTTTGCCGATGACATCCTCATGTTTATTACCAATCCAACAACCTCTATCCCCACACTCCTAGGGCTCCTGCGAGAATATGGAGAAGTATCATATTACAAAAACAACACCTCCAAAACTCAAGCACTACCGATCAACTTACCACACCACTTAATGACCAAACTAAGCTCTGAGTATGCATTCGACTGGCGCAAATCATCCCTTACATACCTGGGGATCAAACTGACGAAAACATACCAAGCCATCCTAACAGAGAACCACTATCCTGTAGCGCATAAACTCAAAACAACCCTAGAGAAGTGGGAAAATCTAGAGATATCCTGGTTAGGCCAGATAAACACAATTAAAAATTATGACACTACCCCACATCCTCTACCTCTTCCGTACGCTGCCAATAGCAATACCAAACAAACTGATCAAACTACTACAAGCCACTATAAATGTGCACGTTTGGAAGCAGAAGCCTCCGAGGGTAGCCCAACGCAACCTAGGGCTTAATTATATCAAAGGGGGCCTAGGATTGCCGGACATCAAGACGTATTACAGAGCCTCAATCTTAGAGCAGGGGGTGCACTTATTGAGACTTACGAACTCTTCCCAACAGCCATTATGGTTGTCGCTAGAAAATGCATGCCTACACCCACAAGACACAACACACTCCCTGTGGACCAGCACACCCCCTAAGCAAAATTGCATTGCACTCGATTCCTGCTGCATTCCTGGCAGTTCTGGAATCGCTTAATTATGAACCCTCACTCGCTTCTCAGAGAAGCACCTCTGGTGACCTTGGCCACATTCTCCCCAGACCTACCCATGACTGGATGGGCTACCAAGGGCATGCACAAAGTGCTAGACCTCCTGGAGGGCAATATGATCAAACCCTTCCCTGACCTTCAGCGGCAATATCTCCTACTCCAAAGAGACATGTTTCTCTACTTTAGAGTGAAAAACATACTATTACCGCACATGAAAAAAATGCGAAAACCACTCGAGGATCCTCCCCTACTACTCACCCAGATTTTGTCATCTAAATTGAGGAAGCCACTGTCCATGTGTTATAATGCCCTTCTCAACGGCCAGTCCAGAGAGAAGACATCTTACATGCTGCAATGGGAAGATGAGTTGGGGCACCAAATTCCCTTGTCTCGATGGTATGAGGCAATGACAAATACAAAACGGGCCTCAAAGAGCCTCTCTCTGTGGGAGGCATACTGCAAAATATGCGGTGGTACCTAGTCCCACATAGACTGTCACGCATTTACAAGGATGCATCTGAGCTATGTTGGCGCTGTGGGGGAGGAGCGGGAACCATGTTACACATGTTTTGGGGGTGCCTTCTGCTGGGGGCATTCTGGAAACAAATACAAGGCCTTATATCTAGCACAACAGACCTCCTAATCCGGCTACAGCCCGAACACTATCTATTACACATGATATCTGAGTTGACACTACATCCCCACAGAAAAGTGATAGTCAATATACTTAGCGCAGCAAAGGTCCTCCTAGCTCAAAACTGGAAGAGCACAAAAATACCCACCATAGAGGCAGTTAGCAGCAGAATGGACGTAATTGGCTCCTATGAACTAATGGCTAGCAGGATGCAGGGCCGGGAGGATAGGCACGAGAGGGAGTGGGGCTGTTGGAGACCCAAACCGTAAAAGCAAATAATATAATATCACACAGAAGGGTAAAACTCCAATGTGAACGTAAATGCATATACAAATGTAAATGAAATCCTTAAGGTAAATGCAAACATAGATATCTATAGACACACAACTGCTAACTGAATGCAAACCAAGTGTAAGCAAAACAGGAGCCAGCAGGGTTAGGGATTTATATATCCCCAGTCCCAAGTTTAGATCCCTTCCCCACGCATCCCAAGTTCCCCTTTAGGCTTCCATAGAACCCAAATACCAGAAAATAAGACGCCTTAACAACCCACGTTGACGATACACACCGACAACTTATGTGTAGATACTCACTGTTATGTATACCGCATGTGCACCTGACCATGTTAAAATGTAGCGATATACTTCTATGTAATGATTTATGTATCTAACACTGTCAACTGGACGAAATGTATGTACCTACCCTGTTCAACTAAATAAAAAACTATATATGGAAATAAAAAAGTAACAATGTTTGTAACTCTATTCTTCATATGCTTGCCTTTTATGAACTTGATTATGATATGGTTTTCTCAATTTTGAATATATAAACATTAGAATTTTTTTGTATTTTTTTTTATTGAAGCATTTAATTGAAAAAAACTTTAATATAAGTTATAGTTAATTTCCAATGGTCTATTTAAAAGTGACAATTCCATTTTAAAGCATTTACATTCATTAAAATGGAGCAAGGTTGGCAAATTATGTTTTTCACTTATTCTGAAAATGTAACTAGCCCATATTACAAAAAAACAAACAAAAAACATTCTACTCACATCACAGTCAGAATTTTTTTTTTATGTCTGAACTGAAATCTATGCTAAACATTTATTAGGAAATGAATACATAAATATTAGAGTACATATCTGCATGACAAAAAGTTATGATCTCTTTTTTATGTGTGTTCTAGAGCAGTAACACATCTAATAAATACAGACTTCCCAAGAATTTATAATGTGTTTCTCTTCTGCTAATCTGATCCACAGATTTGCCAGATCTTTATTACATGTATCTGTATGAACAATGAACCTCCTAAAGCTTTGCTTTAAACTTCTAACAATCTATTGTATTTCTTTCCTGTGTCCAAACGTGCTTCCTGTATGGTGCTTTAGCAGGTGATGACCCCAATTTCCTCTGTTTAGCCTTATGTGCTGCTGCCACGAGCCCAAGGAACACACCCAAAGTACACACTTAGGGGTTGAGTACACAGCAAGACACTGACCTGACATATGGATTGTGGAGATGCTCTAAGGTTTCTGTTTGTGTTGTTGTTGCTCTCAGTTAATATGTTAGTTTTATTAATCTCATGTCATATAGACATTTATCAAATCATCTATTTTATCTTTTTTTTTTTTAATTTTGCAACTGGGTTCAAGTAAACTCATATTATCTATATATATCTACAGTATCTCACAAAACTGAGTACACCCTCACATTTTTGTAAATATTTTATTATATCTTTTCATGTGACAACACTGAAGAAATGACACTCTGCTACAATGTAAAGTAGTAAGTAAGCCTGTATAACAGTGTAAATTTGCTGTCCCCTCAAAATAACTCAACACGCAGCCATTAATGTCTAAACCGTTGGCAACAAAAGTGAGTACACTGGAGTTCACCAGGGCTTCACAGGTTGCCACTGGAGTCCTCTTCCATTCCTCCATGACGACATCACGGAGCTGGTGGATGTTAGAGGCCTTGCGCTCCCCCACCTTCTGTTTGAGGATGCCCCGGACCGGTGGCTGTGAGGCAGTACGTCCTCTTCCAGAATGAGTGGCCGGCGATGGTAGAAACATACAAGAGCGCCCAGTGAACCTACCAAGGTACCGGATGTCCAGGGGAGGTGCAGGAGGCCCTAGGACTGCGGACTGCGGACTCTTGAGGGGGTAGCCTGCATGAACTCACATTGCTCCAGAGTGCCCACTGTACTATGGTGCTTACGGGGAGGCTTGAGTGGACTTGGGGGAAAGTTCGGGGACCTGACACCCGGGGAAAATCTTAAACTGCTTAAGCCCTTGATAGAGGATTCATTTTAAAAACGCAACAACCTATTGATGAAAATTTTTATTTTTTTTTATTTTTAAATTTTTCTTTCAACCCACGTGCTCAACCTACGCACATGTTCAGCCTAAGTTGATGGCCTCTTTAGGCTCCCATTACCTAACGTATGTTATTGCTAAAATGCGTATATAACCAATGTTGCTGACTGCATTCTTTTACTGCATAATAAAATTTTTAGCCCTGTCTAGAATTTGCAGTTTTTATATTTTTTGCATGCTAAACCACACACGCTTACAGAAGATATGCTGTAGAATTATACGAGGCGCTTGCGACACGAGTACCATGACATAAGATGCCTCATTTACAATTTATGCATATGCTCAGTGATACTGCTTGCGTCCTATCTCTGCCTACAAGGGCTATGATTAACACGGATTACCAGCATAGAGAAGCCCATAGGAGTTTCCTTTTTTAAAAATTGTATTAGGATTTCCTCCCTAAGATTATATAGTTCAAATAAGGGTTACATTTGTGCAATGTTGCTATATTCACATTACGATTTTTTATCAAGCTTTACTCCGAATCACACAGTTGTGAACCTATATTACTGGCACCCATGCAGTGTACATAGATTATGTTTAATTGAGTTGCTCCTTGGCGTATGATATTCTGACCTGTTGTGCTGATGATTGTTGTCTATGCTGTATAACCTTACCAGATGCAGAATTTTTTCCATGCATACCTTTTGATAGTATATGTTATTTAGTATCTCTGCAAAAGTGGCTTCTTGGAGTATTACAGTACTATAGCAAGTTGTCTCAATACGCCTCTGCGTAGGCGACCATACATGTTATTTCTCATTAACTGTATCACTGTTTCTTATACTATTTACTGAGTTTGCATTGCATCCCCTGCATGGGAAAACTGTTTCCTAAATTATTATTTTTTTAATGGATTTAGCACAAAGGCAACCTCTGGACATGACGCTGAGCATGTGCACTCAACTTCTTTGGTCGACCATGGCGAGGCCTGTTCTGAGTGGAACTTGTCTTGTAAAACTGCTGTATGGTCTTGCCCACTGTGCTGCAGCTCAGTTTCAGGGTCTTGGCAATTGTCTTATAGCCTAGGCCATAGGTTGCTGGAGGGGGGTGGGGGATGTTGGCGCCGGTCGGCAACAATGCAGTGTAGGCCCCTGCCTGCCCAAAAAGTCAGGTGCCTACTCTGCTTTTGTGTTGGGAGAACCTAGAGGCAAGGAGAGAGATCTGGGAAGCAGTTCTCCTGTCCTCCCGCGAGCAGGCTGTGTAGAGCGTTGCCGTGTGTTTCCATGGCAATGTTCCACACAGCATTGTGAGGGAGGACAGGAGCGCTGCAGCCAGATACCAACTTACCACCACCGGACCACCTTCACCAAAGGTAAGAAGAAGGATGGGGATAAAGATTTTATGTCAGGATTATAAAAAAAAACACATTTGCCACCTGCAGCACCCCCCCTCCCACACACACACAGCACTCCTCCCACCCACACAGCACTCCTCCCCCCACACAGCACAACTACCCTCCCACACACACAGAATCCCCCCCACACATCACTTCTACCCCCACACACACAGCACTTCTACCCTCCCCACACAGCACCCCTCCACCAAGCAGCACCCCTACCCCCACCTCCACCCCCCACACAGCACCCGTCCCCCCACACAGCACCCCAGCCCCCCACACAGCACTCCCCACCCCACGGCACCCCTATCCTCCACACAGAGCACCCCCCGCACACAGCACTCCTCCCCCCCACACAGCACTCCTTCCCCCACACAGCACACCAGCCCCTGACACACACACAGCAACCCAAACACACACAGCACTCCTCACATACACAGCACCCCTCACACACAGCACCCCTCACACACACTCCACACCTGTACACACAAACACATACACTGCACCCCTCAATGCAGTATGTGTGTGTGTGTATTCAGCAGTCTGTATGTATTCAGTAGTCTGTGTGTGTGTGTGTGTGTGTGTATTCAGCAGACTGTGTTTGTGTATATGTATTCAGCAGACTGTGTGTATGTACTCAGCAGTCTGTCTGTACTCAGCATTCTGTATGTGTGTGTATTCAGCAGTCTGTCTGCGTATTCAGCAGTGTGTGTAGTCAGCAGTATGTATGTATTCAGCAGTTTGTATGTATTTAGCAGTTTGTGTGTATTCAGCAGTCTGTGTGTGTGCATTCAGCAGACTGTGTCTACGTATTCAGCAGTCTGTGTGTATGTTTGTGTGTGTATGTATTCAGCGGACTGTGTGTATGTATTCAGCATCCTGTCTGTGTATGTATTTAGCAGTCTGTGTGTGTATTTATCAGTCTGTGTGTGGATGTATTCAGCAGTCAGTGTGTGAATGTGTTCTGCAGTCTGTGACAGTATTCATCAATCTGTGTGTATGTATTGTTTGAATGTATTGCAATTGCTGGAGATAGTAATAAATATAAGCTTAATTATATCTATAATTTATATCATTATTTAATTGTATCATTGAACTCTCTGTTGTTGTGTTCTTTTAAAACAAAAGATG